ATATTTTCCAGCCATCTCTTGGCTGTATACGTTTAAGGCTATAAATTCTCTGTGGTTTCATCCAAGTATTCTGGGCTGTCAAAGTGGGGCCAGGTAACAAGCCCTCTGTCCTGAATGAGCTGGTCCAACAGCCTAGCTGCTGAATAGAGTTACATGGTTTTTAGTAGCAGCATGTTCCAGGAGCAGTCCACGACCCAGATGTTTTTCAAAGTCTAACGTATAATGTCTGTGCAAAAGGTACATTTTTATAACAGTGCCTGTGCCTCCATTCTGTCACACACTCAGATTACTGCTAACAGAGGTTCCAGACTCACCCTGCCTGAATGCCAGTCCATGTGTTGAAGGTATGTTCTCTCCTTCAGGGATGACCATCTGTGGTATGGACATGAGAAGGAGGGTGAGGAGGCAGGGCTGGGGTGAGGCTTCAGTTGGACCACTGTACTTCACCTAATAGATAAAATGTCCAAACAGATTCCAGCCTTTGAACAGACACATGCTGCGTCTGATCTTTCTACCGTACCTGTCAGAGAGAAGCCTGAAGAATCTGTTCCATGTTTTCACTCACAGACATTTTAAAATGGCTTTGAACCGCTTCCAGAACGTCTGCCCATCACCTGACATGGATCTCAGCGTGTAGGCAGCTGGAGGTTGTTTGATTTGACAGTCTGCATTGTCTGTAGGCAGGTTCGGTCCAGAGTGAGTGTTGTCTGAGTCAGGCTCCTTCAGTGTTGTCAGGGTCAGTGACCCCTCTTCAGCTTCTTTTTATTGGCATTATGTTGGATGAGATGTAATATTTGTGAATGCACCACAGCATCAGTAGAACGGAAAATATTGAAATTTGGTACGTTGTGAAATTGTGGTGAAACAAGAAGTAAGAAATGACTTCCTGTAATTTGATATAAATCTGTGACATGACTACAATATTTTTAACTGTACACACTGTTCTATTGACTTCTTCCGACATCAGATGGTCGAGGCTTTAGATTTTATCAGGGTTACAGTACTTCACTGCTCCTTGCTGCGTTGCTAACACATTGAACTGAATAACAGCTCCATGTGGTTTAAGTTTCTCCACTGGTTAAGATGGGAACAAATTGACCTGAACAATCACCAAATGACTGTGGTGAGGCTCATTTATTTACTCTTAGCAGAGTGCATATTCATAGCAAAAATAATGAGTTATTTGTACAATGTAAGATGTGATTGTGCTGATTAATCATTGATATTATGCATTTAAAATTTGGAAATTGGAGCATCGTTGAAATATTGACTCCAGAATAGACACTGGGTCAGAGTGTGTACGACTGTCTGTGGCCCACAGGTGTACATAAAAGATCAACCGCAGCAGCTCACAGTCTGACAGGAGGTTTTTTCTCTCACCTGCCTCCGGTCCACGCACACTGACCGATCGTTACGTCTGCGGTGAAATCAAAGCCTTTTGTCAGGATACAAATTGTCTCTGATATCCGGGTAGGGAGAGTGTTCTCCTATTAGTGTTCTCCCTTTTTTAGTCTCATCTGTCTGACTTCACCTAATGATGCTTTGAGGCCAGAACCAGATACCTGCAGATGAAGCTGTGTTTTTACCAGGGAACAGCAGAACCCAGACTGTTTCTCCTGAGAGAACAACTGATGCTCTTTAAAGCTTTATAATCCGTGCTGACATTTGAGTGTGTCTGTCTCACACTGTGGGATTATAAACGGTGCTGGTTCTGAGACCGTGCGTTGGAATATATACATACATACATAAAATTATCTGTCATTTCACCTCCTGTGATTTTCTCCCTTATTTCTCTTGTAAAATAGAAAAATGATGATGACGTACGGGTAGGTTTATACAATATCTTTGGACCATTATTGATTTCACCATTTGTGTCTTTAAAAAAGAAAACTTTTTAGTAGATTTATTTGTTGACATTTCCTGTCCTCTCCTCTTGTTCCACTTTTCTCCTCCCCCTACCACCTTTTCCTCTTGTAAAAATCACACGCGCTTCCCTGTAAAGTTGATGTCATCTCTCTTATTAGTCCAGGTTCAACAGATCTTCTGTCAGACTGATTTAAAGCCTATTATCTTTTGGACTTTTCTCTGTCATTATCTGAGGGGATCAATATAAGGGGCCTGGGCCATGACAGTGACTGATGCAGAGATGAATCTGATCAAATTCCTAATGAGATCTCGCTGACATTTACCTGGAGCAAAAAAGATTGACAGCTATTACAGAGCACATGAGGGAAAGGAGTCTGTGAAGTATTACCGACTTTTGGACTTCTGGCTCTGAAATATATTCCCACTGCAGGTGGTGTAACTCTCAGGTGGGGTGGAGGGCTGGTGGATGTGGGGTGGAGGGGTTGTCTGCAAGTGAGTCAGCGTTGTTCCATCATCACTAATGGCCAAATAGCGTCTCTGTTGGGGAGAGTAATTGGATTTCTTTAACAGGAAAGCATCTGTCCAGCTCCATTAGCCAGCAGTAAACAGCAAACACAGGGCTGGGAGGCAGAGAGGCAGGGGGGAGACAACAAGGAGGGGAGAAACAGGCGAAGCAGCTTAAAAACAAAAACAGAATCAGATGAAATTGATAGTAATTGGTGCTGGAACAGGTGAAAATAGAACAAAAATCTTAAAATGCAACATCAGGGGTGAAGCAGAGATGATTCGTTAAAATCAGCATCAGTTCTGCTCCATGTGGCCATTTACTGAACTACAACACCATGTGTCAGATTTTTTTTTTTTCTGGATGATGACAGAAAAGGTTTCTGAACAAATCTGAAAGAATAACCAGATACATGAAAAAAATCACATTTTTCTTGAAGTGTTGTTACTGCCTGGATGAAGTGAAAGACAACAAGACCACGATCAGTACTTGTACTACAACGAAGTTTCCGCAAGATTTTCTGCAGAGTCATCCTTTTATCAGATTTATTTCAGATCAGATTTATTATCAGTTATTTACGCAGTTTGTGAGAAAAAGTTTTCTCAAAAAGTGTTTTTGATTTATAACAATCATGATTAATCTACACCTACCCCATGATTAATCAGAATAAACATTGTATCTGTTTGGCAGCCCTGGTGTATTCACATGTATCTTCTCTCCTGGTTATTGGGAGGTAAAAGCCCAAGACCCTGGATAGACACCCAGCTGGTGTGGCAGAGTGACAGGATAATTTTCTTCTTTATATTTAAATGACACACTGACGGAGCAGCAGGACAAAGACGGACAGAGAGTACAGACAGGTCAATGCAGGACATTTGACCAGATCTGTGTTTTCCTCCTTCAGCAGCAGAAAGACCACATTCACTCGGTCAGCTCTAAATCAAACCTGACAGCCTCGTACCTCCAGGCTGCAGCTCCCACTGCTGTCTCACACATCTATTTAAACTCGGCATGGAAGTGAAGGTCCTTCCTATAGACCAGTGGGGTGTGTCACAGCCACAGACCCTGGAAGGGAAAAAGCCTCTGCCTGCTCAGAGACACATACCAAGGAACCAAGGAACAGGAACAAGGAGCTTCTATGTTGGCAGTAAATTGAGCCTTTCTCCCTGGGAGAGGGTGACATGTCGGAATGCAACACATTAATGTGGACATGGGTGGGCTTCTCATTCCGGTCATAGCATCACTGTCTTCACTCTGTCCCACCATGACTTCACTCTCTCTCTCTCTCTCACAGTCAGTTTTTTCACCTTAATGTTCTGTTGGATTGGTTCAATCTTTTAACTTAAGCTTTCACTTTATATTATATTATTTTTATATTGATTTTTTTTGTATTTTTTAACATTTATATATACATTAGGGCCATCAAATTTACCAAATTAATCTCGAGAAATGAGCTGTGCTATAAATCCTGACACACCATATCATTGGATATTTAACTCCTATATATGCATATATTGAGGTTGCAACAATACATGTATCTGTACATGTTACAGTTACATGTATTGGGTGTTTGCTAACAATGCTAAAATCTGCTAGCCAGCAGATTTTGACCTTTCAGTGACCTATACATTACATGTAGATGATACGAGGAATGATAAACAGCTATCCTAAAAATCCCACAGCCTGCAGGTGGATGCCGGGTGGTGGAGTTGGTCAATGACAGGCAGACGGAACTGTGGCAAGTGTTTCAGTTTAAATTAGACCACCATGGTTGGTAATGTGCTTATGGTATGTCCTGTGTGTGTGTGTGTGTGAGATGCTATGCGACATGTATGCAGACGCTGCAGCTCTAATCGTCGACCAGAAGTTCAGAGACCTTGTTGTTATTTATTATGGTTGTTTGGTCTGTAATTACTGCATTAAGAGTTTCCTCTATAACAAAAGTACTGGTGTAAAAGCTGAACTGGCTGCCACAAGTTTAAAGTTGGTGGATTTTAGTCATCACTGTTCATTTGACAGCAGCTCGTGCAGAGGAATGCATCATGGTTGTTATTAAACGTTAGTCGCAGACTTACTTTTTTGCCCTGCGCTCAGTAAAGATGGTCTGACACCAGCTCAGCCTCATGGTTGAAGCCTCCAAAAATACACACTGGGGTATTTTAAGCTTGAGGTGTCTTAGTGAAATTAAAACATTTTTCTCCCACACTATTTTTTTTTTTTTTTCGGTTTTATAATCTGATCGTAAAAGTACAATACATACAATTCTAAATTTTATTGTAAATCTCCAGAATGCTAAGATTAGGGCTGCCAAAATAAGGCCCTGGGGCCAACTTTGGTTCGTTAGAGTCTAAAATATGTTAAATGTGAATGGTTGATTTCCTTAAATGTGACCCAGTGTTGGACATAACTATTTAGTGTGTAAACCCAGGACTGTCAAATAATTCCTATAATTTCAAGACCAAATCATTGTTTTGTCCAGAACGATATAATCCAGGCTTCATATTACATACACGACGGCTTCACATTGAATCTCTTTAATAACTGTAATAACACCAGGTCTAATCCCTGACATGAAGTATCTCCACATGAATCTGTTCAATGACCTCCACATTCTCTGCCTCTCCCACAGCCTGGGCCATTGTGGAGGTGAACATGGAGGACAGGGTGGAGGTGATGAGGGGAGAAAACACTCAGATCACCTGCATGTTCACATCAGACGACGGCATCGGAGGAATGATCATAACGTGGTACTACGTGAGTCACGTTTTCCAGGTTCTACATCTGTGCATGATGTTTATGTCAAGCTTGTGTGTGATTGGCTCTACCTGCTCCAATCAGGTGACACGGTCAGGGGAAAAGCAGGAGATCTACCAGCAGGACTCCACCATGAGAGTGGTGAAAAAAGGCACTCAGTTCACAGAACGGATCAGTGTGAACGGAACCCTAGCCAACGGACAGGTGGTCCTGACCATCAGTGATGTGGACATTTCTGACGAAGTGGAATTCATCTGTCTGATCAGAAGCCTGACCTATGGCACTGCAGAGGGACGCACGAAACTCAGGGTCTTTGGTAATGTTCAAATAAGAATTCTACACAACTATATATATGTATTTATATTAGGGATGTCTGATAACATCGACCAATCAATATTATTGGCCTGATATTAGCATAATTATGAAATATCTGTAAAAATCGTTATCATTTTTTTTCCCTCCGATAATGAAACCTGATGACGCAAAGCCTGGGTTTTACCAAATATTCTGGAAACGCTTGTAGGTTCCTGACACGGTAAACACAGTTTTGGGAAAAACGACTGCATATATCGATATTGGTTGATATCGACATATTGGTAAAAAGTTAAAATTGGACATCCCTAATNAATACCTTACATCTGTGACTTGTTTACATAGACATATTTGAGCTAATTCTAGTTCAGTGGAAGAGGTTTTTTATTTGTTAAAGTGTTAAATCCATTTTTTCCGCATTTGACCATTAAAGTGAAACAAAATATAAAATATTAGTTTTCTTCATATTTGTGATAAATTACGAATCAACTTTCTGTTTCTCCTCTGTTTATAACCAAATTTAATCATCACATTTTCACCTATTTAAGTTTCTCATTCATCACTTCAACTGTTAGTTTTTATTCATCTCTACATATCTACGTAGAAATGCCGGACCTTCCCACTATCGACGTTGTGCAGAAAGGAATTTCTGTCTCTGAAGACACTCCAAAGGTAACTGAGCCATACACAGAACAGAAGATTCAAAACAGGAAGTTGACCTAGATTCCTTTTTTAAATCTTTTTTTCACCATCACATATTCTCTCCTGCCATACAGATTGGAGTCTGTGAAGTCAAAAATGGTTACCCAAAGCCAAACATCACCTGGTACAGAAACACCACGCCGCTGCGGAGCTCTGACAGAGGTGAGACAAACTGACACCAATGTCCACGATGGACGCCACAATATTTAGTTTCTAAATGATTAGATTCAACCTGTCTGATTAATCACAGGGGAGCTGTGGATTTATCACGGTTAATCATGATTAATTGAGATAAATCTAAATATGACAAAAACCTTTGTCAACGTACATCTTTGTCCATATTTCTCACCAGTTTTTAGTTGTGACTAATCCAAATGATGGAATTATTAACAGGGAAAACTGTCAAGAAAAAAATACAAAATATAACGGAAAGTTTAGAGTTGTTGGATTTTAGTAATCACTGTTCATTTGACAGTGGCATGGTTGTTATCAAAACGTTAATCGCAGACTTACTTTCTGCCCTGCGCTCAGTGAGGCTGGTCTGACACCAGCTCAGCCTCAAGCCTACAAATCCACACTGGGGCATTTGAAGCTCCAGGCGCCTTAGTGAAATTAAAACTTTTTTCCCCACAATCTGTGTAAATGACATTATGTACATCAATTGTATATTAGAGTGAAAATAAATGGATGGACGGTGGGCTTATTGGATATATGGTGACCATAATTCTGCCCTGTTGTTAAAATTCCCTAAAAAATGTATCTGCTTAATGACCTTAACCAATTATCATGTTATGTTTCAATGTAATACTTTTCTTTCTTCCACCTCCTTCTGTCCTGCAGTGAAGCCTCAACCCAGTATTACCACAGAGTCCACTGGTCTGTTCTCAATCAAAAATGAGCTGAGTATGACCCTAACCAAGGAGGACAAAGACGCCACGTTCTACTGTGAAGTCACATACTTTGTTCCTGGGGGAATGAGGATGACGGAGACCAACGCTGTTAACCTCACTGTGCTCTGTGAGTTCCACTGAATATCAACATCACACCTGTTAGACAGTGAAGGGTGCTGTAGAGCTGCCTTCAGGTGGGGTTTACAATTATCCAATGGGAATATTTGTCTTAATGTCTGTATTTTAAAATAAAAATATTGTAGATATTTAATGCAGATCATTTTATTCATTGAATTGATTAACTATAAACCAACAGTTGCTATTTATGAATTTGTAGAAAAACATGTGACCTGGAAAATCTCCTTCTCAGTTTTAAAAAAAATATCTGTACTCATTCAAGTCATTTTTCTAGTGTTTATATTCAAGATCCCCTCCTTATTTTTCCTCATTTTCTAATCTGCACTGGCTCACTCCCTCTGGTCACAGTGTTTGTCGAAGGGTCCGGTCAGTGTGAAGGATTGCAGCTGAAATAAAGTTTACTTTAGTGTAGAGATTAGCATAGATGTTCTGCTCACTTGGACGTGAGTCACACCCTGGCTTACTTTCCACTGTGCAGCTGTCCAGGTCACATGCATGTGCTTAAATCAAATACAAGGCAGCATGGTCACTTCAGCTGACAGTGAAGAGATTTGACTCCTGCAGGCACCAGTTTTTATTCAACAAATATAACACGAATATTGTGAAAAAAAGTAAAAAGAAAAAGCCCCCCCCAAAAAAGGCTCCTACTATAATCTCTAACCAGTTAAAGAATTAATTATGGAGTAGATTTGCCTAATACACTCACACCTCTCCATGTCCTCTAGGGGCCCTGTGGCTTTCTCCCTTTGGAAAAATGACTGATATCAATATAAATATGAAATATATTCACTAAATCTGCATGTTTTTGGACAGTGGTAGGGAAACCAAATACGACTACAAACCTGGAGAAGGTAAAACTGTGCAGAGAGACCCTCAGGTATCAGCAGGGATCAAGCCATGGTCTTAATGCTGTAAGGCAAGAGTACTAACCACCTCCCATTGTGAGGCTAAGCAGAATTTACAATTGAATGTGATAAATAAATTTATTCATATCATCGTGACAGTCTTCTTTTCTGAGAAGAGGAGCTCTCCTTTAATCAGAAGCACGGCGGTTAAATGAGGCATGATAAACTCTGGTCTCTGACATCTGTGTTTCAGACCCTTCCACTTCCGTGAGTTTGTGGGTGGAGTCACCAAAAGGCATGATCAAAGAAGGGGACACAGTGGAGCTTCGGTGCCAAGGCGATGGGAATAGTGCCGTCTCCTTCACAATCTTGCACGATCCCGTAAGAACACACTCAGATGATCACAGACTCGACAGCCTTCTCCGTCTGCAGCGTCCACTGCATCTTACGTTCCTGCAGTCGATTCGAGATTCGGGTGATGTTTCTGTGCTCATCACATGACCTTGTCTTCCCACAGACTGGTCTCCAGGTAGATACCAATTCTTTAGTGCTTCATAATGTGACCGAGAAAAACAGTGGAGATTACAGATGCGTCTCTCTGGACATGGAGACCTTTGAGGAGATCTCAGGAAATACAACACTGTTTGTCAACTGTAAGAAAACCGGCACCGCCGTGAACATGACCACGCTTTCATTTGACTGTGTGCAGAGGTGAAGTCATTCTTTTGTCCTTTCTTTTTTTCACTGCTGCATTTCAGTCCTGAAGCAGGCTGTGGTATATCCTAAGAATGACGTGGAGATGGAACTAGACGATTTTCTAACCGCCATCTGCAGAGCTCCCTCCTCTCTTCCCACACAAACAGTCTGGTTAAAGGTCACAAACACAAACACAACTTTCCCAGAAGCACCAACAAATGTTATTCATGAACTGACAACACACACATATTAACCCAACATCCACAATATATAAGGAGGACATGCTGTGATAAAAATGTTAACGCACATACTTGTACGTGTTTGTTGTGACTAAAACGTCTCTCAACCTGCGGTTCTGTTGGGGTTTGCAGGATGGCGAGCAGATTTCCACCGGTCACATTTTGTCCCTGACGAACGTCACCTTCGACTCAGCAGGGACGTACATCTGTGTGGTGACAGTTCTGGAGATTGAAGGGATGGAAACTACTGGAGAACTTGTGGTCCTGGTCTTAGGTGAGTCTGTCACATGAGAACTACTTTCTACTCTTAGGTTTTCTTCATCTTTTCAGATTTTTCTTTTGCACAGTATTTATTGTGGTTGTACTGATAGTGGTTAATCCTATTATCAAATCTAGATACTTCATAGTTAGACAAATCTTAGCTCTGAGTACACTAATGTCTCCTCACAATTTAACAACAGTGTTTACACCTCACCAAGCTGTTCTCTCTTGGACAGCAGGAGACAGTATTTTCAATACAAAATGTGCTGTTAGTGTGTAAGCTCTGTTCACTTTCTGGCTATGTTAGCTTATGCAGATCATTTAATTTATTTTTATAATTATTTTTTGTAAATGTATTCTTAGTTTTGGAATATTTTTCTCTCAATTTCCCCATTGTGAGATGAAAAAGGGACTAATATATGTTTTTATAACGAAAATAAAAGAAAAATGACTATAAGTACATTCCTGTGGTCTGGCTTTCCTACCTACATAATTCACGCCATCAGCCTAATTTGGTACTGTTGATGGAACTCATTATCGAGTACAAAAATTAAAATACTCAAATACTGGTTTATAAAAAGGCATCAGCGCTAACCTAAGTATTTGTAATTGGTTTTTTGTGGCTGTTGTTGTGTAAGTTCTGGTTATGGAAGAAAAGCTCAATTTATTTACGTATTTCTCTAGGCGCACCAGAAGTCATCGTGCCAGAAAACGTTGAACTAGAGGCGACTTATGACACGATGGTTGACCTGACCTGTCTCGTCAAAGGATATCCTCTTCCTACCATCACCTGGGTGACCTCTGATGGAGAGGTAGAGTAATCTTCACAAAAATGTCCTGCCGTTTGGCCACACACTTCCTTCCCAGCAGGAGGTGCTCTAAAAGGTTTTCTAGTGAAATGCATGAATAAAGACCATTTCAGTTGGTTATGGTGTGTTGCATAATTTTTACAAATAAAGGACCATTGTATTTGGTCATAATTTGTCTGGAGTTCATTTTGTTTAAAAAATGTGATAAAATATATATGAACAAGAAATTGTGAATCATATCGTATGGTTAGTCCAGTGTATCGTTACATTCATAGCTGTGACGAATCTGATTTGGTCAATTGGTTTTGTTCTTCTCTTCCAGGTCTTGAAGGAAACA